AAATCTATTTGAATTTCGCACGATTTCTTCTTTCGACGAAGTAAGAAAGAGAAATTTATATGTAAGTAAAGTTAGCATCAGATTCGAGTACTTCGACCAAATATTCGCCCAATGACTTGTGTCAGAAAAGATATTGTCTGTGTCAAGTAAAGAATTGAAAATGCTACCGATTGAGTACTTTTCAGAACCTAACATTCCCATGAAAACTTAAAAATACACGTTTTTATACTCACTTTCCACTAACTAATAATTCAAGTAAATCGACTAAATATTCGCTGAGTGAGCTGTGTCAACTTTTAAAGGTAGCGTGTCATGCTCAAATTGACGAGCTTTATGGAATGGGGTGGCTTTTGCGTAGATATGAGCAGTATTTCGCAGGATTACTCTTATTTACGATCCAGAATAATCTCGTGGACTTTTACTTGACCTCACGAGTGGTTATCAGTTGTAATACTACTAAGATCTATGAAAAAGCCATATCATTCGATAGAGCTCGTCGATTGGAGTATGACACACTGCTTTTTAAAGTTGACATAACTCGCTCAGCCAATATTTGGTTGAAGTACTCGAATCTGATGCTGACTTTACTTACGTATATGGCATATCAGATAAGTGTGGATGAAGGCAATAGACAAACATTAGATAGATGATCTAGATGAGGATGAATGTGGAATGAAAATGTTAGCATAAATACAAACAATTCTCTTGCTTCATCATAGTTCTTATGGTTTAGATCTTTTCGAAGATGATCATTTATCCTAGTAGATTTCTACAGTTGATCAGAGATCGAATAAAATTGGTTTTCCATTGATAGAATAAAACTTCAATAAAAATCTTCTTTTCTGAAGAATTGCACAAAATATTTTCTAATATGTGAAAGTAATTTCGAGAAAAATTGAGAAAAAAGCTTTGCTTCGAAAACTGATAAATAATTGTTGTTTTATTATCAAAATGAGAGAAGAAAAATTTTCTTTTTTTGTCGATTGATTTTATCATTTGCAAAAGGAAATCAATAATGAAAATTTGTGAGATAAGAAAATCTTTTTCAATCTAAAGAAATATTTAAGAAAAAAGCATTCTGTTGAAAGTTGTCTAGAATAAAAGTTGATTAAATGTATTGATCTACTTTTGATCAGAATTCTTATGTTGAAGAGAAGACTGGGCAACTTAATCATATGAATCTATTCATTTGAACAATTCTCTTCGTTAGATTTGATTCGTATGGAATATCTGATTTAACTGGATTACCCGATTTACTTTCCACGGATTTTCTTTCCGTTGATTATTTTCAGTCTTAATTGGTTTTTTTTCACAGAAAAATATAATTTTTGCTGCTGAGGATTTACTTTCCGTTGATTACATGAAAATAATTTTCCAATTAGTCGTTTTCTTGATTGGGGATTTACTTTCCGTCGATTAGTTGGGATGTGGGTGTCGTTGTGGGTGGGTGTGGTAGTGAGTATTGGTGCAGATGAAGAGATACAATACACACCCATCCATGCTCACATCCACACCCACAGCCACACCCCAACTAATCAACGCAAAGTATATCCCCAATCAAGAAAACGACTAATTGGAAAATTATTTTCATGTAATCAACGGAAAGTAAATCCGTGGAAAGTAAATCGTGCATCCCGATTTAACTAGATTTCTTTCGAAAACGAATTCGATCAATTCATTAGAATGTCTTCATTAAATCTATTTTCATTTTCTCAATTAAGATGAATAGATCGTGTTATGAAACAGAATTTATCGTTGTCAACAATATCACTTAATCGAATGAATTTTTCTAATAAATGTTGGCGAGTCTTTCCATTAAATCGATTTGAGAAAATGTCAGTGAATTTGAACAGTAGAAATCGTTTACTTAGGATTGAATCCTTTTTTGCTTCTTTTAAAATCATTTTCCATAGCTGAATATTGAACAAATAAAGAAGGATTTTCTTAAGTTTGTCCAATGAATGTGATGAGATTGTTTGGCATCTGACAAACATCTTCAAACGACTGTTCAATGTTTATTTGACTATACAGAAGATCTCTTTGATGGAATGATTAAGTTCATTCTCAGTTTCATCCATCCATCTTTTTCTTATGAAGAAATTTTCTTCAGAATATCTCTGACTCTATGAAAGAAGGTGAGAAGTTCGATTGATATCTTTCGAATATGTCGATTATAATGAGCATTATTGAATAAATCAATCTATTTTTCGTATATGTAGAAGATATATGATTAAATTAGTTATTAAAGATTCATTTGAATAAGAATATTTGTTGTCTGTATAAAAAGTGATATTTAATTTGATATTGCCGATGGGAGTTGGTGAAAATATTCGTTGTATCAACTAAATGAAGAAATAGAAGAAGAAAAAGATAATTTTGAAGTGTATGATGAGAAATGATTAAGATTTGATTTATCTCCCGAATTGAAGATGAGCCTAGATGATCATGTCGAAAAACGAATCAAACTTTCGAATCTTTTCGCTTTGATTAAATCAGTGTGTGCCGAAGAATTATTTGGAAAATTTCGATATTTATCATAAACAATGAAAATATGATGATTCACTTCACAATTCCTATTGAATTTGTAGTTGCATGACAAACTCTTCTTTTGATAAGTTTTGCTATTTAAGAGAATGTTTTTTTTCAATGAGATCTTCTAAAAATGGTTGGAAATGATAGTCCTTTATTCTGTCCATTGGTAAATATTCTTTATTTGAGCACCTTTCACATATTGACCTTGTCTTTCAATCTTCATCAAAAATCATCGAAATGTTTCTCTCATATTTAAAGAAAATTTCTCCAACGATCTCGCATTGAATCAATATACTAAGATATTTGTTTTCTTGTTTAGATCTTATTCTTTTCTATTTTATCTATTTGATGACTTGGACTTTAGAAAGATAATTGATAAGTATGAATAGTTTTTCATTGAAAGAGTTTCTGATTTGTTCGAATTAGTATCAGATATTTGAAAAAAGTTCAAGTAAATGATCAATTAAAAGGTGAAGAAAAGTAAATGAAATTTGAAGATGATTTCTTCCAATGCATATTCCATGATTTAACACGAGCAAATTTCCTTATATTTTTTGTTTATTCACTCAATCACATGTCATTGATGATGGGAAAGAGTTTTTTTCGAAAATGTTCAGAGTGAATATCTTCATGGAATGATTGAATGAGAAGAGCTGATTTTTCATAGAAGAAGAAAAATTCTCTTCTACAACATGATCATTACGATGTTTAATTTGTCTTTTTTCATCTCATTGAACAGTTCATTCATTTCAAAGATAATCACTTTAAAAAAAGAAGGTCTCCAGTCAACGAAGTATTCATTTCAATTGAAAGAGTTTTTCTATAATAGACAAACGAATTTCAAAAGATTTAAGTCAATTGTGAACAAATCTTAGACGAATTTCTTTTCTCTTGCACTTCAAATAAGAAGATCTCGAAATTCCTCTACACTAGATGATTTTCTTCAGCAAAATCTTCAGCTTATTGAGGAGTGACAGATAAAGACTCGTCTCAAATAGAGAGAAGTCCATTCGATTCTAATGGCCGAATAATGACGAGTTATTTCATCATTTCAATTGAATATTGTTTGTTAATCAGTCGATCAATGCCAGATGTGATGAGTGTGAGAGAAACTCTTTCATTGCTATCATTGATCTGATAATTAAACTTCATTTTTCTGATCATACTGACCTTGTCTTTTTCAAATGCTGTTTATTGTTTCTTAAGAAAATTCTTCTCATTTTTATTGATGTTCTTTACATAGAATATGTTAATTTTTGCGAAAAACTGATCGAAATAATCTAACTATTGATAATTGATTTTGTCGTCGAAATCAAATCTGTTAACTGAAAAAAAAATCAATTGTAATAGAAGGAAAAGTACTTATTCACTTTCATTAATGATATTATTCTCAGATAATCGAATTGTGATCAAGAAAAATATTGTAGATAATTATTTGTTTTGACTAATTTTCTTGGACGAGATCACAAATGAACTTTTTTCTTTCAATTGAATTAAATAGGAAAATCAGCTTGTTTCGCAGTCAGATAAAACTTCTTATTTGTCGTAGATGCTATTAATTGCCAAATGAAGAATTTATCAACGACAAACTAATCGACTTCTTAAAGATCAGATCAATGGTGAAAATTCTTCTAATATGGAAGATGTACAAATGAATGAAGATCTAAAAAGGAAGATAGTCATAGAAACTGAGATATTTTCCTCAGACAAGGGTCTAATTGAAATATATATAATACGTAAACAAATGCTTTGGTTATCCTTTGTTTCACGAAATCGAATGATCGGATATCGATGTAGTCAACAGGTCAAGAGTGATCACGTCGGCTACGTATTAATTGCAGGCAAAAATTAAGTCAATTAGTGAAAAATAACTGCTTTTTGGAATGATTAAAATTGTATTGTGTTGCCAAAAAAAAAACAACTACTTTTTCAATTAAGAAAATATCAACAAATATAATATGATAATTATATATACAAAAGAGTTATTTATTCATACGACTGCTACATAAACCAAAAAAAAAAAGAAAACAACAAAAACTTTACTCTTCATCTTGAGAGTGAGGATTGCCGACCACCTAAACATAGTATCTATTGTATCAAATGAGATGTTATTATTCTCTTTCTCATATTTTATGTGTATCAGTCACACACAAATCATGTTTCAATTTCGCAATAATTTCTTAATGAACAAGTGACCGTTTTTTGGAAACAGTAAAAAAAATGAGATAATAGAATTTCAATCATTTCAAAAAGCAGTTGTTTTCCACTAATTGGCTTAAATTTTTCCCACAATGCTATACAGAAAATAGCCAATAAATCATTATCCGTTATTCTTTTTTTTTCGTATATATGAAATAGTTTATTTGGTTCAGCATTGAAATCTTTTCCCAAGCATTTTGTACACATTATTAACAATAAGAACGAGAAGATATTATATAAAAAAAAAACAAATGTCAACGAAATAAAAATCATTTCCATTGTAAATAGATATTATCAAGTTCATGATGAATTGTGTAATTTGATAAAAGTTTTTCATTATCAATTATTTTGTTTAAACTTTTAATCATATTATCATCTGCTTTTGAAACATAAATACATAATAAACGAAGATCTTTATGATGAACTTGATTAATTTTGTTTAAAATATATCGTAGAAATAATTCAATAGTCATACCATTAATACATTCAACATTAAGAAATTTCATATGTGGACAAACATTAAGAAGAAAATAAATTTCTTGAATTGCTTGCGTCTTTTCCAAATAAACTTTTTAAATTTTACTTGCATGTTCTATTGAACACGTTGTAGGAAATTTTTCATGTATTCATGGTCGATAAAATGTTAAAATTAAAGAATTAATTGTTAATGTGATAAAATCTGGTAATAAATGTATAATTTGCATTAATCTATCAATAGAAATTTGTTGTTAAATATCCAAATGATAAATTTGTACTATATTTAAAATACGTTTAATATAGTTGAATAAATCGTTAGCAGATTCACCAGAAAAAACGTATTTGATAGTCAATTGAGTAGATTCTAAATATTCAACAGTAGAATTTTTATATTCATATTATCTTTTTCTGAAAATAAAAACAAACAATCTATATAAATATAAAAGAATCTTCTGGAATATACCTGTATGGACAAACTAAATAAAGAATATTATATTCATTAATTTCAACATTAAATATCAATTTTCGTTCAATCCAAAATGATGATATGAATTGATTTCGTTCTCCAGAATATATTAAATATTTATGTTCATAATATTTTAAAGAAAATTTTTTCAATTGAGATAAATATCGTAAAATTAAATGTTCCCGTCGATAAGCATGAAGAAAATTTATATCTTGATGTAAAAAAGTAACATATAAAGTTTTTAAATTCGAATATATATTTTCAATAAAATATTTCAAATTCATGAAAATTAATATTGTTTGTATACATCGAAATATATGTCAAATTATCTAAATTAATTGGTAACATGGTTTCAATAGTTGAATCATCTCGATTTACATGTAAAAGATGCAGATGACAAAGTTGTGGTGTATAAGAAATTAAAGCAGAAAGTTCATCGAAAGTATACCAATGAGCAATATCAAGATATTCAATAGTACTAAATTGTTTTCCAGTGGCCATTGGAATTGAAATTGAACATTCATTTCCATATAAATAGAGTTTATTATATTTTAACTTAGGTAATGCAAAAATTACTTGATAAATATTATTTAGATCTTCAATGGTATGTATTGTTCTGATATTTAATGAGAAAAGTTTTGGTAAAGAATTTAAATTAATAAGAAATGAAATAAGTTTATCTGGATGAATATCTTCAATAACAAGTGATTGAAGACGATTAAATGATGAGTCGATAGTAAACGATGTTAATAATTGATTAATATCGACTGGTAATTGAAAATAAATTGAATATATTTGATGTTTAATTTGTTTATAATTAACCATAAATATTTCTTTCGATGTTATTTGATTAAGATCAATTTTATATAGAATAGATGAAGATGTAAGAAGTTGTTGAAAACGATAATTAAGATTTGAAAATGCTTGATAAATGTCAATACCATCAAGATAATCGAATATTTCATTGAATAATTCATTCGATAAATTTTCAATAGAAGAAATTATTAATTCATCCAACAACTCATCTATATTATAATAGAAAAAAAAATTATATGTTACTAGTAGAAAACTTTACTTCGTAATTTCTTTGTATTTTCTTCGGATAATTTATTAAAACTTAATTGTCGTTTCATTATATGATCCATGTTTAAATGATATAGAAAAAAACAATTCGAATATATATGATGATTTTGTTTTTCTTTCCTACATAAATAGAATATATATTGAATGAATCATCGATTATTCGTCTGCTATGTTTCGGAATGTACCGAACTTGTTGGTTCACTCTTTTAATGCAAGATATTTGATATAAGTTATTAAGAATTTTCAATGAGAAGGAAACAAATGTTTTTGAACGATTTAAACTTGTAAGATTTTATAAAACTTGTCTTTTTCGATAATCAACTATTCATATGATTATAGGTATGATAAGTGAAATATATGTCATTCAATTATTGGTGAACACATTATTCTAATTAGAAAACTTTTAAATACATAAATAAAACGCGCTGACATTGAATTGTAAAGCAAAGAATACAAAAAAAACTCATATACGTATAATTATTATTCTTTTGAGATCATATAAGTGAACTTTTAATAAAACTTAAAATATTGAGAGTAAATAATATATCGGAATGTAGATATATAGAATTACGAACTAAAATAGAAAAATATCTTTAGAAAAAGAAATTTTCCTATAGACGAACGAACTATATGCGCCCGTATTTTTACTAAAGTCTTTTCATGTTTCTTCATTCTTTCATTATTGATAGTAAATAGTCGTATAAGAAAATTTGAGTGATCATGCATTAAAGAAGTTTGATTTTGCTTAGTAATGGACATGGTCAGCCAACGGTCACCTTTGCATTCGACTATTTGAAATTACAAAAGTGAAAGAAAATTATCTCTGCAATCGACGAATTAACGAACATTTTGCAAGTTATGAGTGATATAGTCCCCATTTCTCTTTCATCATTTATATATAAAATAAATTTGTATGATTTTAAATCTTGTTAAATTGTATTTTTTCTCTGAAAGATGATCACTAATTCCAATGTACATTCGTTGTGAGAATAAAACTTGATTACTTGAACGATAGAACTACTCGTAAATTATGGAAAAGATATATTTTTATCACGATAGTTAAAAAGATTTCAGATTCTCAAACCTTCGACTTTGAAACGTGAAAAAGGTGAAATTTCGTAACGAACAGTGTTTTTAGTATTTTTTTTTTATTCTATGCAATGATAGTTGTTAGTAAACAGCGTGATATTATAATAGCTTGTAGTGTACGTAAGATGGCTATTTATATGTCACTTCCATTCGTAGTAAAATGCTCAACTTTCATATCACCCTCAAAAAAGATTCCATTTTTTGAAATTCCTTAACGGTCACTATTTTTGGACTAAATCCCTCTCCAGAATAAAAGGACATGGCCTTATATTGCGTCTTTGCACATCGTTACTTTTTGGGTGGCCTTCTATTGAGGTTAACTTTTGACCAATTATTAATTAAAAGTTTTAAAAATCTATAATAATTAATTATAGTTAATTAATAATTTTCATTGATGTATTTCGGATATTTTTCGTGGAAAAACTGCTGTTTTCATATAAAAATATACTATCAATGATTGAATATGAAGTGATTTCTCAGAAAAGCAGTACTTTTTGACTAATTATTAATTAATATTTAGGAAAAATTAAATATTTTTATAATTAATTTATTTATTAGTGCATGGCCTTCTAATGGGGGTGACCCTCTAATATGGGGTGGCCTTTTATTTTGGGGAGGGGTTTAACTTAGCTCTGACTAAGAAAAAACTCGTTAAGCAGATATAGGTGTGACAACGTAAAAGAAAATTCTGTAATATTTGGCCATACGCCCTAATTTTTTTTCTTGATGTGAAAAAATTAGTAATTATATCAAATCTTTTTTCAATATTAAATAGGCATAAAAGCAACACAAATCGAATTGATTTAAAAGTTCTTTTACTTCTCGTTCGTATAAATTCCAAAATTGATCTAGTAATGTTTCGACTCCTTCATTTGAACGATGATTATTTCTTTCTAATGTTTCTCGTAATGATGGTTCAGCCCAACTACGTAAAAATCGAGTGTGGTCTTTTACAAATTCATCCAATGTTAATTCTCCTTGTTGAAGTCGAGTAAATGTATCTATTCTAGTATCACACAATTCAGACTTGATTAGTTTCAATGAAAACTTTTTAAATAAATCATAATTGATGTATTCTTCATCCGTACGGTAATACAATGGATAAGTATAATTGAGTAATTCTTGTTCTGTAATAAAGTTGCACATTTGTATAAAATTTGAAAAAGAATTTCAAAACCAAATAATCCTTTATCATTTGAACAAGGAAAACAAAGAATAAGTACACCACCAGGAATAAGTTCATTTGAACGATATTCCAAAAATCTTAAATAATCAAGATGAGCTTGTTGTTTAAATATATCATATTCATCATTTGAACAAAATAATGAGACACAATGATTCGATATATTACATGGATTACATGACATCCATTGCAGTGACGCAGAAGAGTAGTCGATAGATAGAGAATTTGATGAAAGACATTATTCATAAAATGATCGACCATTGGCTAAACCAAAAGAACTGTTTTCTTTATTGAGTAGATCGAAAAGTATTGTCCAATTATTCGTTGGTAAATCGTTATGAATGACAAGAACTGATCGCTGTTTATTTTTAGATGTTTTTAAATTTTCAATGATTACTTTCATAGTATACATTGAATTTAAACCATGTGATGAACCAAAATCAGCAATAATTACTGGTTGTGTCGATGGTAAAGAAGAAAGATCGAGAACTTCAATCGCTCGTTGAATGAAGGGTATTGAAAGTTCAATTGCACGCATTTGTGGACGCGAATTTGAATTATAAGAATAAGTCATACCCTTGATTCCGGCTGACATTTTGTAATTTTATTTGTTTATTGAACCTGTTAAGGAATAAAATTAAAACTGAATGAGAGACAACGTACTTTTGTCGACATTTCCTTTTTATTTCCTTATCCTCTTATATAGATTGTCTTATAAAAAGAAAAATAACAAATTGAAGAAATAATATTACTAAATCTGTCTTTTTTTCTTGAGGGTGTGCGGTGTGGGGTGTGGGTGTCGTTGTGGTTGTGTGGGTGGGTGTGTGGGTGCCGTTGTGTTTGTGGGTGTGGGTGGCAGTGGTGGAGCCAGGGGCAGGGCCATTGAGCAATTGCTCATAGCTACAAAAGTTATTGCCCACGGATGTTTTTGAAATCATCAGGGTTGCCCATAACTCAAAATAGCTTAGCTGGTGAATTGCCCATGACTCAAAAATTCCTGGCTATGCCACTGGTGGGTGGGTGTGAGTGAAGAGAAGGTCACTACCCTCAGAAACATCTCCATACCCACACCCACCCACCCTTCTGCAATACTGACAAGTACCCCATCGAAAAAATGCCTATCTTTATTTGAAAGCAAAAACTTAAAGCTTGAAACTGAATTTTGAATTATGTTTAATTGAGCTCACATTTTAAGTTTGACATATATGAATAGTAAGATACACTTTTAAGGATTTTTTTCTCTGTTTATAGTGTGCTCTACCTATTTCTGTCCTTTGGCACAATATGTTTTGTTGTTCGTCATGTTGTTTTCTTGTTCTCTATGTGCTTTAGTGTCTCATGCTGCTTCTTCTATTTCTTTTCTCTTCTTTCATTCCTCTTTTTGATTAGGTGGAAGGACGTTCTTATGCTAGGAGAGAAAGGCTTTTCCTATCGTCTCTGTTGTACACAAGCAGCTGCTACGGTTTACATGGTGTAGTCTTCTTCAGCTTAAAAAAGATGAGTAAAACGAAGAAGACAAATGAATCAAGAAAGAATAGAGCAACAAAAATAATGATGTATTAAACGCCTAATATGTATCTATTGCTTTAGGTTACTTTTTTTTGAATATTTTTGACGAAGTCTTAATAAATCTGCATTACGTTTAACTATATAGAAAATAGAAACTTAATTTAAAACTTGCTTTTTTTCTGTTTCTATCATTACTTGTGATTCTGTGTCGCATTTTGTTTGAAGATAATTTATTGATATAACATATTAATTTGAATAAGGCACAAATTTGGGTGTGGGTGCGATTTTTAGAGACAATACTACTAATATTCACACCCACATCCACACTCTTTCTTGTCTAGAGAAAGTATTATTTCTATTTTACAAAATTTTCATTTATTCTATAATCAATATGGAAGCTGGAAATCCTTTTCATATTTAAAATAAAAGTTGAGAATATAAGAATATATGAATATCAAAAAGGTAAATTGACCTCTTCGTTGGCACTACGCACAGCATCGATAACTTGTCGAGTCTGAGCATTGTCGACTAATGCGTTCCAGTGAGAATCTTATTCTGCTAATGAGGTTAAATTATCAAAAATATATAGAGCACGTCTTGCTCTTGTCAACATGACATTTAAACGATGTTGATCATTCAAAAAACCGATTGTTCCATTGCTTCTGACGCATGAAATAGGAACAATATCATGTTCCTTTTCTTGTGCACTGTCTACAGTTAAAACTTCGATATGACGCGGAAATTCAAGCGATCTCTCGCGAAACTTAGTCATCTGTCTTTTGTACGGTGTGATGACAACAATACATTTTTCCATTTCAATAAATTCTCTATCATTTTTAACATAAGGTTGTCGCTGAACAAGGCACTCAAGTAGTTTGATACAAAATCTTTTAATAAAAATTCGTTCTTCTTTATTATCCGATGACCCACCATTAGATGGAAATGTATGTGTTGTATATATCAAATGATATAAATAATACGGTTCCAACGGATAGTCCGGCCAATAGTTCATTGCAATTTCATCTGTGATAAGTTCGCCATTATAGAAATGAATATTTGGAAATTGACATATTCCTTCATGCATACGATATTGTCTATTTAGTAAACTGATATTTTTTCGATGAATTGTAGCATCCAATCTAGTATAAAGTGATTGTGACAGATTGTATGTTTGCCCATCGACACTGAGAACGCATGGGGGAAGTTATTTAGGATCACCAACGAGAGTAATCTTAGAACAACCAAAGTAAAATGGTAGAAGACAATCAGCTTCAAGACTTTGGCAAGCTATATAGTAATAGACAAAAACATATTGAAAAGTAATTCAAGAAAAAATTTTACCTTCATCGATAATGATAAATTTAATACTTCTCTGCTTTTTGACTGATACAAGTGTGTTATTAGTTGACTAGTTCAATGTCGAAACAATAACTTTAGCATTATTAAGAATATTGTTTTTGATAAAATTTGCTGTTTGATATGATACTAATTCTCCATTTTGCATTCGTTCGACAAGTTTTTGCATAGCAAGTGATTCGAGAGAATGTTCACAAACATCATGATCAAGAGGTGCTTCACGACCAACTCGAACCAATATTCCTATAAAATTTTATATACTTAGTTGTACAACTCAGTGTAAGATGATAATAACCTGTTTCATAGTTAGAACCAAGTTCCTTCAAGATTCGTTTTGACAACTCATCACATGCGTTGTTCGATGATGCACAGAGTAGAATTTTTCTTCTTTTGCCTAATTGTGGCAAAAGTCTTACGACAATATCAGCAATTGTTTTACTTTTTCCAGCATCTAAACAAACGAAACTCTAAAATTGAACAAAAAGCTTTCCAGAGAAACAAAACTAGACCTGATGGACCATGAACGAGATGTAGATGATCAATTCCATTGCCATTGTCACCTAATATTCGTTCAGCATAATTAATCACTCGCATTTGAGCGTCGTTAAAGTTTCCAAGCGCTCTTGATTAAGCAGTTAGAAGATGCTCATGATGGAAATAGGGGTCTGTATTTGATGACTTAAGTAAACTTTCTTGTTTTGAAAACATTCGCAAATTATAAATGGCGCTGATTTGTCTTCGAGATGATGTAATATTGGTCAGTTTAATTATCGAAATTTTTTGCGATCCTAAACTACGGCAATGATTTTCAATATCATCCGAACATGCTTTAGAAGCGTATAAAACTACATCAGACTTGACCTGAATAACATGTTTATTATTGTCGCACTCAGTCAAGCATACATCTGTGACATTTTCCATACCAGATGGCACATGGTCGACTACGTGAACAATAACGGCGAAAAATCTGCGACGTTCATCTTGAACATCAATGTTAATGAGAACAATGGCACATAAGGCAACTTTTTGAAATGTTTGAATAAATAAAAGATCGATTTGACAAAACATATGAGCCAAAAACTAACGTGGTTTCGATGGATGATTCAGACACATTGGTTGTTTGTGTAACTTATGGTACATATTTTGTGATTTGAATGTCAATGTCACCATCAGTGTGGAGTAAATCGTTGCGTGTCATCGACATTATGTCGTGCTTGATATTTTCCCATAATTCGTGATAAAGAAGAGGTACGAAACATTTTTCATATAGTCTTTATGCAGTTTCAACACCAAGATTAGGGTAACTTTGTGAGTTATCTACAACACAAAATTCTTCATTCTACTTTAACATTTTTTCAAATTTGTTACCAAATATTTGTGGTACAGAACATAAACCTTCATATGTCAAGCTTTTATGAAAAATCGAGCTCGTTCTAAACGTTTGGGATAAATAGGAAGGTATCCATCGAGTAGCAATACAACCAAAGAGACGTCTAACACCACAATGAACCTGATGTGACCAAAAAGCTCGTTGGGATGAAATTTGGGAACGTCCTTGTTCTAAATTTGCCATGCGGTACTCAAAAAGATATAAAGCTGTTATAATTTGTGGTTTGAACGTGTATAAAACACGTGATTTAATCCACAGATGACGAGTATGAGGATCTTCACATTTTAGTTGAAACCATGTTTTAGCCGTGTAAATATTATTCAATGAGTCTTGCATTTCCATTAGTTTTCATTCCAAGATAGGATACGAAAATATACTAGTGTTATACAAAAAACCAGAATAATTTGCTCGTATCTGTAAAATCTATCACACTTGAACCATAAATGCTTGTGAAACATATTTTTTTGTTATGGTAAATAGAAGAAAAATATTGCACAACAATGAAATTTTCATTATTTTTTTCAAATGTCTGTCTTCTTGAGGTAGTTGTGAATTGTTTACTCTTACTCATTTGTGACGAACAATGGGGCTCGTAAGTCTATTAATTGATGAAGCAACACACAAACATGAGCATATATACCAACAGAAAGTGAGAAAGAGAAAAGAGAAGACAAAGCAAATGTGATGATGAACCACAGCAGTGAATCAATACATTGATCAACACCTTTGGGCGCTGAAAATTTTAACCTTTCTTGTTTGTCGGCGACGACGACGGCAGTTTTCAAGCGCAAGAAATTTATCCTAAATAGCCTTTCAATTTAAAAATACTGAACTTTATTTATTCTGTTTAATACTATGTTTGTCTTGGAAATCAAATTAAATCATTGCCCAGAATACTGATAAAGAAGATAGAAAATTTAATAAAGGGTATGTCCATGGGAAGTCGCTAGTCAATCCGGGTTGGGTCAGAAATTTCTCTTCTAAGCATCAAGTGTTGTAGAGCTGAACACTCTGACCATTTGAGTACAAAAATTGTCCTATATTTGACTAAAGTTGCTTGGAGATATAGGTCAAATACTAAAATCTCAAATTTGCATTTTTCAGTCAAGAATCATGAAAATCTGAAATCAACTTTTTTGAAGACAGGCTTCCATGCCGTGCAATTACAATCAAAATAAACATGTAATATCATATTCGGATACATCGTCAAAAGGTGTATCGATATGCCTTTTGACGAGGAATCCGAATCGTTTGTGGGTGTTGGGTCTGTGTGTACGTGTGGATGTGAGTGGAGGTGGGTATGAGTGTGGGGTGTGCGTGTGGGTTTGGATCAGGATGACCATATTGTCTGAAAAATAAGGAAAGTGTCTGAGTTTTGAATATCTTTCTGATTTTGTTTGATTTAGTACTTTGTTCTGATTTTTTTGAATTCTGAATTTTTTATATTGTAGCTTTGTTCGTGAAATTAAACACGGTTATAAAGCATTACAATAATAGATCAATATTGCACCATCTTGTTTCTCTATTAACTACTGATACTTTCTGAATTGGGATGTGGGTGTGGGTGTGACACATCTCTTAGCCAACACCCACATTCACACCCACATCCAAACCCACACCCACACCCACCCTTTACAGACAAAATTTGTTAATATAAATAAAAACTGATTCATTTTTTTTAGAAAATTCTTTATTTTCTTGAGCTTTTTAAATTCTTGTAATCAAAATTACAAATACTCAAAGTGAAAGATTATGGGCAATGTCCCGAAGAAAATCCATAGTTGATCTATTACCACGGTCAGCAATAACATTTTGAATTCTGGATTCTTTTATCTCTTTATGTATATATATCACGTTCATGCCCGCATATACGTCCAATCTCGAACTAGCCTAGGCAATCTAAGATTCGCCTGAAAATAGTACGTCCAATGTGACATTGGCCTAGACTAATCCGAGATTGGACGCATTCAAGTATGAACGCTGACATATATATCACTGTATCTACAATAAATTTAAATTTATTTTTGACTTCAATTTTTTGTCGGTAAAATAAATTGTCGACAAACTGTACATGTCGGCAAAACAATTTGTCGGCAAAGTGGTGTCGGCAAAGTGATGCGTCGGCAAAGCTATTTTCGGTAAAGTGATTGCGACCCAAGTAGTTGAGAATATTCAACTTATTGAGCAAGTAACACCAATGAAACAAGAAATAGTTAGAAATGCACCATCAGTTATTCCAAAAGATATAGATAACTTTAAGATAGAACTATTTGATTTCCCAATTATTCCAATTGAGTGTAAGTTTCATTTTAAGATCTTCCATATTAAGGCTAGTATAGATAATATAACAGCTCATAAGGAATTTTTAGAAAGGAAAGCTAAGCAACAAGAGAAAGAATTAGAACATATAATGAAACAATTCAAAGAAGATTCACATAGATTAGTAGTAAAATTTATTAAGAATACTGTTGACCCACTCATAGATAGTTTGAAAATTTCAAATCAAAAGCGTTTAGACAATCTTATCTTAGACCAGATGAAAGAAAGAGCCTTAAGAACAATAAGAGATAGTAAAGATAAAAATAGTTTAGAATTTATAGATAAGGCACAGATGAGATTTGAGTGTACATTACAATTGAAATATCAGTTAGATAAGTTAGATAAAAGGCTAAATGAGAATATGCCCCCACCAGCACTGAATGAAATAGATAAATTACAATTTCGTAGTAAAGTCTTAGATAAGGAAATGGTAGACCAATATAGTGAGCAGTGGAACAATATTTTAAGAAAGACTAAGTTAGACTTAACATCCATAATGCGAATAGCTAAGGTTACGGAGATAGATAAAAGTGAAAAAGAATATTTAGAATTAGTTGAGAAAATACCATTAGAAATAAGATCAGCATATAAGGATTTAGTACACACTATAGAAATAAGGAATAATAGAAAAGTGCAAAAGAAGTTGGATTTTTTAGAGAGACAAGCCTCAAGAATAATAGAAAAATAGCTAGAGCAATAGAGAGAAATAGTAGAGCTAAGAATTTACATCCCCACTATACCCCACTAGAATTTCCCCCACAAGTAAACAATAAGGTATTAAGTTTAGGAAAAGAAGAAAGAAGGATATTAAGTTACGGACCCAAATTTGTATCTGAGAATCCAAAACAGGCCTTAGATAGATTGGAGGATGGGATTAGAATAGTAAAAGAGAAAGTAGCCGAGGCTTGGAGAAGAGAAACTCGAACAGTAGGTAGAAACCCAATATTAGTTGAGAACTTTGCAGATAGACTAGAAGAAGAATTAAGAGAGAAGATAAACCAAGGAAAGAGACAAGACCCAGTAGTAGAAAAGGCCTGTTTTGGATTCTCAGATACAAATTTGGGTCCGT